AGTCATTATTTCTTAGTTCTTATATCCTAGAAGACAATACAGTGGTGAATTTTTTAATATCAAAATTCTCTTAAAAACAACTACTCATTTTTAAAACCAATCTCTGTTTTTCTTCACTTAAATTATTCACTTGGCAGTATTATTATATTAACACATATTGAATCAAATTATAGGATTCATTTCAGTTTCTTAAAGAATAGTTAAAATTTAAAAGCAGCCGTATCTACTTAAATGTGTTTCAAAAATGTTGTGATTCTACCTCACAGTTATAAAAGTTATCATTTATATCCTAAGTCTGGGATATTGTTGAAGATTCAAAATCATTATTTTTAATCATACTTATTTCTGCCACATGAACATAGTGAAAAAAAGTCACCTGCATTTTCCAGAAGAAGGAAATGATAAGATTTTCCATAGTAAAAGTATTTTTGAATTTTGTTTAGCAATAGTCTGCATTATATAGTTTAAAACTATTTTAAATAAATGATGGCTATTTGTAATGTCATTTCTTACATATCCCTGGCATGAATTTTATTTGAAAGTTTATATACTTTTGATAAACTACATTTAGCACACTCTCTCTTCCACAGGAAATTCCTTTATCAGAAATTTTATCTTTGGAACCAGCAAAAACTTCAGCTTTAATTCCTAATGGGGCCAATCCTCATTGTTTCGAAATCACTACAGCAAACGTAGTGTATTATGTGGGAGAAAATGTGGTCAATCCGTCCAGCCCACCACCAAATAACAGTGTCCTCACCAGTGGCGTTGGTGCAGATGTGGCCAGGATGTGGGAGATGGCCATCCAGCATGCGCTTATGCCCGTCATTCCCAAGGGCTCATCCGTGGGTTCAGGAACCAGCTTACACAGTGAGTCTGCCAGTCTTCTAACTAGAGCAAAGCTCCTCCATCTGCCTTCCCCCTGGCTTAGGAAACATCTCCCCTGCCTTTCCCAAGAACAGAATGAAGAAAGACTCTTTAGGGATGATTTAGTTTATTGGAAAACATAGGGTCTCTAAATAAAAGCTGCTGCAAATCCTAAGATATTTCACTTGTTAAATCTATTATATTGTCTTTATTGTATATTAAAATTTTAATAAATTTGTATAAACACTGTCTACTAGACAATTACAGAACTCTATAGCTATTGGCTATAAAAGAAGTAATCTAATCAGCTTGAGTTTGACATGGAATGCCAGAGTCTTGCTACTTGCTAAACTGAATTAATATGTTTTCCCAAAACCACTTAACCTGGTATTCTATGCAGTGTTTGATGTGTGGAGTGCATGGTAACTCTTGATTATCTTATCCCAGGAAAAAAATCTCTGTTCATTAGTAGAATGAGATAGATTTGCCAAAATGCAACCAGAATCAGATGTTAAGGATGAATTTTTACAAAGAAATTTTAGAGGAATATCTATATAAAAATGTGATTTTAAACTTCCTAATGATTATTAATAATGAAACTTGTGAATCAACCTGCTTTTTACATTATACTGTGTTATCTGTTGATCTATCACAATTTTTTTATTTATCTCTACAATCAACATACATATTAATAGAATATATATTTTGCTGCTAAGCACTTTATATGAGATCACTATTTTAATGCCTAAAACAATTCCAACAGGTAGATGTTAATGATTTGCCTGTTTCACAGGTGAGGAATTCATTCTCTCTCTAGAGAAATTAAGTTGTCTAAGTTCATACCAGAGCTGCAAAATAGCCAAATCTGTATTTGAATCCAAGTCCTCCTGACTCCAAACTCTAAACGACAAAATATTATTTTTCAAAAGCAAGTACAGAGCGAATCTGTAATTTTAAAAGGAAAGAAATATTCTAGTAGACATTTTCCTAGGAAAATCTAATTGCTATGATTTATTTAAAACCAGTCCTGCATGATGATTTGTAAGCATGTATTTACTTGTTTTGCTATTACCTCTGTTACTGACTTCTTGTGTGTGTATTTTTAAACATGCATTTCCAGGAGATATTTCTGTGAGTATTTCAGTATCAAATTGCCAGATTCAAGAAAATGTGGTAAGTATGCACCTACTAATATAAACCTTGGTAATGTGATTATTGGGAAATAAGAGATTCAGAAATTTTTATTTATCTAGCATTCCAATTTTTCAGTATTTTCTAGAAAATAGATCTATTTGGATTTTTTCCATAAGATTTTAGAAACATCACATTATATTGATTTGTTTAGTGATTTTTCTATATTCTGTAATGTAGAGGCAAAAGATATTCATCTCAGATAATTATAATGAGATGCCTGATTTTTCACGTTTTCCCTTTTTTTCCCTTCTTGGTACTGGAATTTTAATGTTTGATATTACATAGTAAAATAGACAAAATAAATTCCTTGATTTGTGTGAGTAGCTTAAACATGCCATTGTTCTCATTCCTTGGTTGCTACCTACGAGTACTGTCAGATGACAAGGAGTTGCAAATGCTCTTAGAGTCACTTGTACATGTCAAGGAGACTTCAAGAAAGTTGCATAAATCACAGTTTATGGGTCCACATTCTAGCACCCTAGTCTCCGTGCCACATAACTCCATACTTTCAACTCAGTTTTTGAAAATTATAGATCAGACATATTATGAAATGTATTACATTCTTCATATGCTTGCTTTATCTGTTATACTTTGTCACTATGGCAAGTAGCCAAAAAGTAATAAGGGCTTTCCTACCCCATCCTTGTGACCAAGACCTTTTGCTCTATTTTGCCTGGTATAATTATGATCAAAAGAAAGTATTTTATAGCCTTATTTACACTTTTTAAGAAGATTTTTTAAAAAATAAAATTCATGAATCTCTATTCATCACTACTATATCTTTATAACCTTTGCTTGAGTGGCATGAGTATTGTCATCAGATCATACTTTGTTCAATTATTATTTCAAATAGAAAAGATTAGACATTTGGAACTTGTTGCCTCCCTCCAGAAGTGCTAGAAATGGAAGAGTTTAGCAAGTTCCCAGATAAGAATGTCATACTGAGTTGTCATTCTTCTGCAGTGTCTCCAGCTCACTCACAGTGGTTCAGCCTCCTCTTGCTGCAGTCTAGGTTCATCTGCATGTGGGTGGCTAATAGGGGAGCATCCCCTCCATTCCGGCCGTAGAGGCTGAAGTGGTGGGAATCAGCACTCACACAGATATGTGATTGGGAACCATGATTATTTAATTACATTTTTAAATAGCCATCTCAATAAGCAAATCCCTTTTTGAATACTTGTAGTAAATGACATTATATGGTTTTAAGTCTTATTTTTTCTATTGAAACATACGTGAAAGGCCTCTTAAGATCAGGATGGTTTTCAAAATATTGTAATATTAAATTAATTAAAGATGATGTCTTGAATATTATAGGCATGTTGCAAATTTCATCTATGATTTACAGTTTATTGTTTAAATGTTTAATAATGTTA